CGCGCGGCCCCCCCCCTCCCCCCCCCCCCCAATGACCCATGCTCCAAGGACTGGCAATAGGACCACAGCAAGTCTGGAGCTCTGGTCTTCCATAGCTAGGGACCTGTTAGGAAACTACATTTCCCATCATGCCGTGTCCCTACTTTTCTTGATTAGAACAAGTTTGGAGTCCAGTTACTCCTTTAAGACCAACAAAGTTTAATTCTGGGTATAAGATGAAGTGTGCATCTTATGTGCAGGCGCATGAAAGCTTACCCGGAATTAAACTCTGGCCCCGGTCACACGGGCTGGATATCGTGGGGGGGAGGCGTGGCTAATTGCCCCGGCGCAGTTTGGTCCGCGATTATGAAATCAGATATGCCGGCGGCACACCACGGGTCCGTCCCTTTGCGCCAGCGGGTAAACGAGGGTGGCGATCACATGACGATTCTGCAGCTCGGCAAAGAAGCAGCGCGGCGTGATCACACCAGCAATGGCTAGGCGCTGCTGCTGTGACAAACGGGGTCATTTTTTAAAAAAGCCGAAATGGCACTTTCGCATGCGCCATTGGGTGCTTGTGCGCATCTTGTGGAGACTTGGGGGGGGGACCTGTTTGTGAGGGGACATGGGCGGGCGCCGGATGCCACCACCGGAAACGCGATCAGACGCCAGCCCTTGCCCCGCAGTTTCCGGAAACTAGTACCTAGGGGTACTAGTTTTTAACTCCGCATCTTCGGCGGGAAGCCTCGGGAGTTTGACGCTTCCCAGATGTTGCGGTGTGATCGCGCCCGGAAAATCCGCCTATCTTCCGTCTCTGTAGCATGGCTAATGCTCCGCGTGACCGCAGCCTCTGTTGGTCTTAACGGTGCCCCTGGACTCAAACTTCGTTCTGTTGCTTCAGACCAACAAGGCTACCCCACCTGAATTAGACAAGATTTTCTTTCTTGATTAGATTGGAGTTTTGCATCAGGCTGGTGACCCTGCATTTTCATGTAATCGATCTGAATACATATTTGGCCACTTCATTCTCACCCACCTGCAATGCATTTATTAATGTTTTAGATGCTTTTATAACAGGTCTCTTCTCTCATTTTCAGTGTATCTGCAAAAGCATGCGTGCGCACGAAAGAGAGACTAGTTTGGTGCAGTGGTTAAGAGTGGGGACTCCAATCTGGGAGAACCGGATTTGGTTCCCCATTCCTCCACATGCAACTGCTGGTGTGACCTTGGGTCAGTCACAAGTTCTTTCAGAGCTGTTCTCTCAAGGGCCGTTCTCGGCAGATTTTTTGGAAGAGCTCTCTCAACCCCACCTACCTCCCAGGGTGTCTGTTGTGGGGAGGGGAAGGGAAAGGAGATTGTATGTCGCTCCGAGGCTCCTTCGGGTAGTGAAGGGCAGGGTATAAATCCAATCTCTTCTTCTTCTTCTACCTTGAATAAAACTCTGTTGGTCTTAAAGGTGGCACTGGACTTGAACTCAGGTCCGTTCTCTGTTATATCTCACCTAGGGTTGGCAGCTCTGGGTTGGGAAATACCTGGAGATTTTGGGGGGTGGAGCGTGGAGAGGGCGGGATTTGGAGAGGGAAGACCACAGCTGGGTACAACGCCAGAGTCCGCCCTCCAAAGCAGCCATTTTCTCTTGGGAAACTGATCTTGCTTGCCTGAAAAATCAACGAATAGCGGGAGAGAGCCAGGTGCCACCAGGAGATGGCAACCCTAACCTAACACCACATCCACAGGTAAAGGTTTCCCTTGCTTGGAAGCCAGTCGAGTCCGACTCTAGGGTTGCGGTGCTCATCTCTGTTTCAAAGCCGAAGAGCCAGCGCTGTCCGAAGACGTTTCCGTGGTCATGTGGCCGGCATGACTAAACACCAAGGCCCACGGAATGCTGTTATCTTCCCACCAAAGTGGTACCTATTGATCTACTTGCAATTTCTTGCTTTCGAACTGCTAGGTTGGCAGGAGCTGGAACTAGAGACGGGAGCTCACTCCGTCATGCGGCACACTCGGGTCTCGAACTGCTGAACTACCGACCTTCCACAGCCTGCAGTTCAGCGTCTTAACCCCTTGAGGTTACAAAATGTAAAATGAGGGCGCTCGCTGTGCAGCTCATGGAAGTTGGGCTTATCTCTCGAAAGCGTCCGCCAAAGCAAAATGTCGTTGGTCCCCGAGGTGCCACAAAGACTCTTGTTTGTTTCACCCGAGCAGGCCAACTTTTCAGTCCTTGTCTCTTGCTTTCTATCATCCTGGTTCTGGACAGCCTGGGAAGCTTGGGAGCGAGATAAACTACATCCCCCATCATGCCACAGCTCCGCTTCCGGGACTCATCGCCCCCCCCTTTCCGTCGCACTTCCCAGCATCCTCTATCACGGGAAGCTGTCGTCGTTACAAAAACTACATTTCCCGTCACGCTCCAGCCCCACTTCCGGTGTCCTCCCTGCCGTCGGGATGCGGCGGGGGATCGTGGCTTCCCCGGGGCCCGCTTCGGCCCTCCTGGGTCGCTGTTTCCCGGGCCTGCCGCTCTTGGCGGCGCCGCGCCGCGGCCGGAAGTCCCGCACGGACCCCCCGGCCAAATCCAAGCTCGGCCGGATCAAGCTCCCGCCGCCCGTCGACCCGGCCGAGCTGCTGGTGGTGCAGGAGCGCTACCGCCACTATCTGAGCATTCTGCGGACGCTGAGGTGAGCGTCTGATTGGTGGCTGGTTGCGTCAGTCAGAGGAAGCGGCCAATCAGGAAAGCCGGGGTCGCCCGGCGAGGGGAAATCCACCTTTTGGGGGGTATGGGGGGGGCAAGGAACCCACCCCCTTGGCTAGAAGGAATGGGCGGGCCAGGATCTCCTCGCCCTCCGCCTGAGTGACAGGCCAGGAGTCCAGCAGGTCTTGCATGGTGCTGAACTGCACTGTATTACAGGCACTGGCTCTTGGTCTGGGTGTCTTATGTGCAGTGTTCCCTCTAAGCTGAGTGAGTGTGAGCTAGCTCACAGATTGTTAGCCTCCAGCTCGCACATTTTTAGCCTCCAGCTCACACATTTTTGTCTCCGCTCAGGAAGGAGGGCTCCAGAGCAAACTGATTTATGCAGCAGCCAAATCGCTCGCTCACACCTTTGATGCCAGTCGCTCGCAAAGTAGAATTTTTGCTCACAAGGCTCCGCAGCTTAGAGGGAGCATTGCTTATGTGTATCCTAATAAAGCAGTTCACAAGACCAAAATAGGACAGTCCATCTTAATATACGTGCTTGGTATTCCAATATATGGAACCATCTATTGATGGACAGAATTTCAGACCGACTGGAAGCCCAGGAGTCTAACTGCAATTCTGATTCTTTTTATGGCCGATGGCACCCTATCTTAGAAAAGCTGGAACAAGTTTTAGAAAATGTTAGCATTTCTCAACACACTCAATACTATTCTTTTATTAGACAAAGTTGGATTTTATAATGTAAGATTGTGTATATCAATGTTATTGCTACTATTATGTGGTGATTTATATACTTAAGTTTTGTAATATTGTAGCCGATTTTTTTGGTATTGCTGTAATTGACAGTCTATTCAATAAAAAAATTGTATTTTTTTTTTAAAAAAACCCAAAATAGGACCCATGGTGAGTAAAAAGGTAAAGGTCGCCCTTGCTCGAAAGCCAGTCGAGTCCGACTCTAGGGTTGCGGTGCTCATCTTCGTTCCAAAGCCGAAGAGTCAGCACTGTCCGAAGACGTTTCCGTGGTCATGTGGCCGGCATGACTAGACACCAAGGCGCACGGAACGCTGTTACCTTCCCACCGAAGTGGTACCTATTGATCTACTTGCAATTTCTTGCTTTCGAACGGCTAGGTTGGCAGGAGTAAGTAAATAGGTAAGTAGGAAATGCCAAAAACCAGCAAATACCATGCTGCAGTTGATTATAATGGCCCCGTTCACACGGATAAGTTGCCATGCTGAAGACACGGATGATAGGCGGATTTTCCGGGCGTGATCACACCTCAACATCTGGGAAGCGTAGTGCACCTGTGGCTTGTTGCCGAAGATGCGGAGTATCCAGAAAATGCGGGGGGTCTGATCATGTTTCTGCTGGAATCCCGTGGCATCCGGCGCACGGCCATGTCCTGTTGCAAACAGGATGTCCCGTCCTGTTGATTGTACTTGACTATGTAATGCGCCTTGAGTCTTACTCACGAGCCCTCAGAGCTGTTCTCTCAAGAGCAGTCCTCGAAAGAGCTCTCTCAGTCCCACTGACCTCACAGGGTGTCTTTTGTTGTGAGGGGGAAGGGGAGGGGAAAGGAGATTGTAAACTGTTCTGATACTCCTCTGGGTAGTGAAGGGCAGGGTATAAATCCAGTCTCCTCCCCGCCCCCCATAACCTATACTTGCTAAACTGGAACGGCTCGGAGGGACAGGAGCAGAGGTCATTTCGGGGGGATCATGGGGGATCGCAGTTCCCCCGGGTGAGGTACGGGGGGCGGGGCACATGACGAAGCCCCGCCCCCTGCTTCCGGCCGCCCCACTTCCGGCCCTCATTCAGCCAGGAGGAGGCAGGAGAAGAGGGATTTTCCTTGCCCCCCCGCCGGCCTTGCAGGTCCACCGCTGGGCCCCTCATGGGGCTCGGCAGTGGAGCTGCAAGGCCGGTGGCGACGGCCGGGACCGTTGGGGGCGGGGTGTGTGGCCTTATGACACACTTCCGGTGATGTCCGGGGGTGTGGCATATGCTAATGAGTTATGCTAATGAGTTCCCCTAGCTCTTTTTCTACAAAACGACCCCTGGGTCACAGGAGGTAACGTTGTGACCCTCTCTGTAAGGGGGAAGCAACGAAGGACAACACTGCTCTTTGTCATGTTCCCTGCAACGCTGTCTTCCAGGGCCGAGTTCAGACACGAGGTGGAGCAGCGACGCTACGCGGAGAAGTACGGCGACGTGGGGAAGCAGCGGAAGGAGGCCGCCATGGAGGAGCATCGGCAGCTGATGGCCTTCAACGATGCCGAGAACCGGCGTCTCCAGCAACGGAGGTGAGGACAGGATCGGGCTGTGTCCATCGTGTGTACGGAAAGCAGACAGGTATCAGGTAGCCCCGTCATCGGTCTGGAATGTGGAGGGGGGCCTTCCCGTTTTCCGTCTCAGCCCTCCCTGGCTCACCAGCTGTTTGCTGTCTTACGCTTGACCTTGTAGATGCTCCAGCTGCAGTTTGACTTGGCTGGGAAAGTTAATGGCTTTTTGCCTGTGAGGTAAAAGAAAAAGAAGAAGAGGAGATTAGATTTATACCCCGCCCTTCACTACCCAAGGGAGTCTCAGAGCGGCTAACAAACTCCTCTCCCTTCCCCTCCCCACAACAGACACCCTGGGAGGTAGGCCGGGCTGAGAGAGCTCTATGACAGAAACGTCTCTTTTTCAAGAACAGCTCTGCCAGAATTATGGCTTGCCCAAGGTCATCCAGCCAGGTGCGAGTGGAGGAGGAGTGGGGAATCAAACCCGGTTCTCCCAGATCAGAGTCCGCGCACTTAACCACCACACCGAACTGGCTCTCTTTTACTATCTGACCAATGTTCCCACATTACAGGTTCAGTTGCAAGCAGTGTTCCCTCTAAGCTGAGTTAGTGTGAGCTAGCTCACAGTTTTTTTGCCTCCAGCTCACACATTGTTTTTTTTTTGTCTTAGCTCAGGAAGGATGGCTCCAGAGCAAACTAATTTATGCAGCAGCCAAATGGCTGACTCACAACTTTAATGCCAGTAGCTCACCAAGTAGAGTTTTTGCTCACAAGACTCCACAGCTTAGAGGGAACATTGGTTGCAAGGGACCTTCTGGTTGCCATAACAATCAGGGAGCCAAAGTCTTGCTCTTTTATGTGATGTTTGGTGGTTTTTATAACAGAAATTTTCTGTAAACTGTCCATATTGTGCCTTTTTCTTTTTTATGCCCATAAAGGTATTTGGATTGGATTGGAAATAGAATAACACGGACGTGGGTAAGGTAGCTGTGAGAAATGGGAGAGCCAGAAGTGGCGGACGATCTTGTGACGTGTGGAAGGAGTGCTGAACTGAGTGGCTGGGGTGGGGCAGGTGGGAAGGAAAGACCAGGAAAAGAGGCTGCCGCGGGGCTCCCCAATGGGGTGCCCGTGGGCTCCAGGGCCCCTGCCAGCCACTTTCCCTCGTTGCCGACAAAGTGGATGGAGCCAGGCGGGGCTTTTGCCCAACAGGCCTTCTGACTGGCCGCCGGAGATCTGATTGGCAGCAAGGCTCCCTCTAAGCTGTGAAGTCTTATGAGCAAAAATTCTACTTTGTGAGCTGCTGGCGTTAAAGTTGCAAGCGAGCCATTTGGCTGCTGCATAAATTAGTTTGCTCTGGAGCCCTGCTTCCCGAGCTATGGCAAAAATGTGCGAGCCGGAGGCTAAAAAACTGTGAGCTTGCTCACACTAAGTCAGCTTAGAGGGAACACTGGTCTGGACACAATGCTCCCTCTAAGCTGTGGAGTCTTATGAGCAAAAATTCGACTTTGTGAGCTACTGGCATTAAAGTTGTGAGCGAGCCATTTGGCGACGGCATCAATGAGTTTGCTCTGGAGCCCTCCTTCCTGGGCTACGACAAAAATGTGTGAGCCGGAGGCTAAAAACTGTGAGCTGGTTCACACTTGGCTTAGAGGGAACACAGATCGGCAGTGCAGATTTTTAAAAAATGTCACTTTGAACATAAGAACATAAGAGACGCCAATGTTGGATCAGGCCAAAGGCCCATCCAGTCCAACACTCTGTCTGTCACACAGTGGCTAGAAATACCAGGTGCCATCAGGAGGTCCACCAGTGGGGCCAGGACATTAGAAGCCCTCCCACCGTTGACCCCCCCCCAAGCACCAAGATGCCAGAGCATCCCTTGCCCCAGAGTCCCTATCTAAACCTTGTGGCTAATAGCGACTGATGGACCTCTGCTCCATATGCCTATCTAATTCCCTTTTGAAGCCGTCCATGCTTGTAGCTGCCACCACTTCCTGTGGCAGTGAATTCCATGTGTTAATCACTCTTTGGGTGAAGAAGTACTTCCTTTTATCCGTTCTAACCCGACCGCTCTGCAGTTTCATGGAGTGCCCACGAGTTCTTGTATTGTGAGAAAGGGAGAAAAGTACCTCTTTCTCTACCTGCTCTTTCCCATGCATAATCTTATAAACCTCGATCATGTCACCCCTCAGTCGTCGTTTCTCCAAGCTAAAGAGCCCTAAGCCCTTTGGCAGCAGGTGCCATCTCCGCCGTGTGGCTAAAGGTCAGCTTTGGCAGCTGTTTTGTGCCAGCTCCGCCTCACGCGGCAGCCGTTTCGTGGCTGCGCCCACCGCGCCATGTCAGACTCCCAGAGGGGCCTGCCGCCTCAACTGGGCCAGGGACCTGCGTGCTGCAGGGAAGGGGAAGGCAGGCCAGTCGGCAGCGGTGCGTCAACACTTCCTTTGTTTCCGGAAGAGGGGCTCCATTCGTCTTTCTGTTCCTCCTGCCTTCCTTCTGCAGGGAGGAGCGCCTCCGAAGGGAAGAGGCTGAAGTGAAGGAGCGGCGGCTGCGTGGAGACCAGAACAGGGCCCTGCATCTGGAGAAACTGCTCGAGGAGAGGGAGAGAGAGGTGCTCCAGCTGCAGGTGAGGGAGGCCGTGGGTGGCACAGGGCGGTTCGGGCTCTGTTGGCCCCTGCAGACACGCCCATTCGCTGCTTGCCCGGGTTATAAGAACAGAAGAGCCCCGCTGGATCACACCAGTGAGGGTCCATCCAGTTCAGCCTAGTGTCTCACACAATGGCCAGCCAGTTCCTCTGGAGAACCAACAACAGGGCAGAAAGGCCGAGGCCTTCCCCTCATAAGGACCTCAGAAGAGCCCTGCTAGATCAGACCAGGGAGAGTCCCTCTAGTCCAGCCTCCTGTCTCATACAGTCGCCAACCAGTTCCTCAGGAGGGCCAGCAACAGGGCAGAGAGGCCGAGGCCTTCCCCCTCATAAGAACCTCAGGAGAGCCCTGCTGGATCAGACCAGTGAGGGTCCATCTACTCCAGCCTCCTGTCTCACACAGGGCCAGCCAGTTCCTCTGGAGGGCCAGCAACAGGGCATGGAGGCCGAGGCCTT